GTCTCTAGCTCACGCTGAAGGGTGTCTTTCTCCATCCTCAAGGTGTTGATCAGCTTGAGATCTTGCTCCGCCCTTTCTGCATGAGCGAGCTTTACAGTCTCTAGCTCACGCTGAAGGGTGTCTTTCTCCATCCTCAAGGTGTTGATCAGCTTGAGATCTTGCTCCGCCCTTTCTGCATGAGCGAGCTTTACAGTCTCTAGCTCACGCTGAAGGGTGTCTTTCTCCATCCTCAAGGTGTTGATCAGCTTGAGATCTTGCTCCGCCCTTTCTGCATGAGCGAGCTTTACAGTCTCTAGCTCACGCTGAAGGGTGTCTTTCTCCATCCTCAAGGTGTTGATCAGCTTGAGATCTTGCTCCGCCCTTTCTGCATGAGCGAGCTTTACAGTCTCTAGCTCACGCTGAAGGGTGTCTTTCTCCATCCTCAAGGTGTTGATCAGCTTGAGATCTTGCTCCGCCCTTTCTGCATGAGCGAGCTTTACAGTCTCTAGCTCACGCTGAAGGGTGTCTTTCTCCATCCTCAAGGTGTTGATCAGCTTGAGATCTTGCTCCGCCCTTTCTGCATGAGCGAGCTTTACAGTCTCTAGCTCACGCTGAAGGGTGTCTTTCTCCATCCTCAAGGTGTTGATCAGCTTGAGATCTTGCTCCGCCCTTTCTGCATGAGCGAGCTTTACAGTCTCTAGCTCACGCTGAAGGGTGTCTTTCTCCATCCTCAAGGTGTTGATCAGCTTGAGATCTTGCTCCGCCCTTTCTGCATGAGCGAGCTTTACAGTCTCTAGCTCACGCTGAAGGGTGTCTTTCTCCATCCTCAAGGTGTTGATCAGCTTGAGATCTTGCTCCGCCCTTTCTGCATGAGCGAGCTTTACAGTCTCTAGCTCACGCTGAAGGGTGTCTTTCTCCATCCTCAAGGTGTTGATCAGCTTGAGATCTTGCTCCGCCCTTTCTGCATGAGCGAGCTTTACAGTCTCTAGCTCACGCTGAAGGGTGTCTTTCTCCATCCTCAAGGTGTTGATCAGCTTGAGATCTTGCTCCGCCCTTTCTGCATGAGCGAGCTTTACAGTCTCTAGCTCACGCTGAAGGGTGTCTTTCTCCATCCTCAAGGTGTTGATCAGCTTGAGATCTTGCTCCGCCCTTTCTGCATGAGCGAGCTTTACAGTCTCTAGCTCACGCTGAAGGGTGTCTTTCTCCATCCTCAAGGTGTTGATCAGCTTGAGATCTTGCTCCGCCCTTTCTGCATGAGCGAGCTTTACAGTCTCTAGCTCACGCTGAAGGGTGTCTTTCTCCATCCTCAAGGTGTTGATCAGCTTGAGATCTTGCTCCGCCCTTTCTGCATGAGCGAGCTTTACAGTCTCTAGCTCACGCTGAAGGGTGTCTTTCTCCATCCTCAAGGTGTTGATCAGCTTGAGATCTTGCTCCGCCCTTTCTGCATGAGCGAGCTTTACAGTCTCTAGCTCACGCTGAAGGGTGTCTTTCTCCATCCTCAAGGTGTTGATCAGCTTGAGATCTTGCTCCGCCCTTTCTGCATGAGCGAGCTTTACAGTCTCTAGCTCACGCTGAAGGGTGTCTTTCTCCATCCTCAAGGTGTTGATCAGCTTGAGATCTTGCTCCGCCCTTTCTGCATGAGCGAGCTTTACAGTCTCTAGCTCACGCTGAAGGGTGTCTTTCTCCATCCTCAAGGTGTTGATCAGCTTGAGATCTTGCTCCGCCCTTTCTGCATGAGCGAGCTTTACAGTCTCTAGCTCACGCTGAAGGGTGTCTTTCTCCATCCTCAAGGTGTTGATCAGCTTGAGATCTTGCTCCGCCCTTTCTGCATGAGCGAGCTTTACAGTCTCTAGCTCACGCTGAAGGGTGTCTTTCTCCATCCTCAAGGTGTTGATCAGCTTGAGATCTTGCTCCGCCCTTTCTGCATGAGCGAGCTTTACAGTCTCTAGCTCACGCTGAAGGGTGTCTTTCTCCATCCTCAAGGTGTTGATCAGCTTGAGATCTTGCTCCGCCCTTTCTGCATGAGCGAGCTTTACAGTCTCTAGCTCACGCTGAAGGGTGTCTTTCTCCATCCTCAAGGTGTTGATCAGCTTGAGATCTTGCTCCGCCCTTTCTGCATGAGCGAGCTTTACAGTCTCTAGCTCACGCTGAAGGGTGTCTTTCTCCATCCTCAAGGTGTTGATCAGCTTGAGATCTTGCTCCGCCCTTTCTGCATGAGCGAGCTTTACAGTCTCTAGCTCACGCTGAAGGGTGTCTTTCTCCATCCTCAAGGTGTTGATCAGCTTGAGATCTTGCTCCGCCCTTTCTGCATGAGCGAGCTTTACAGTCTCTAGCTCACGCTGAAGGGTGTCTTTCTCCATCCTCAAGGTGTTGATCAGCTTGAGATCTTGCTCCGCCCTTTCTGCATGAGCGAGCTTTACAGTCTCTAGCTCACGCTGAAGGGTGTCTTTCTCCATCCTCAAGGTGTTGATCAGCTTGAGATCTTGCTCCGCCCTTTCTGCATGAGCGAGCTTTACAGTCTCTAGCTCACGCTGAAGGGTGTCTTTCTCCATCCTCAAGGTGTTGATCAGCTTGAGATCTTGCTCCGCCCTTTCTGCATGAGCGAGCTTTACAGTCTCTAGCTCACGCTGAAGGGTGTCTTTCTCCATCCTCAAGGTGTTGATCAGCTTGAGATCTTGCTCCGCCCTTTCTGCATGAGCGAGCTTTACAGTCTCTAGCTCACGCTGAAGGGTGTCTTTCTCCATCCTCAAGGTGTTGATCAGCTTGAGATCTTGCTCCGCCCTTTCTGCATGAGCGAGCTTTACAGTCTCTAGCTCACGCTGAAGGGTGTCTTTCTCCATCCTCAAGGTGTTGATCAGCTTGAGATCTTGCTCCGCCCTTTCTGCATGAGCGAGCTTTACAGTCTCTAGCTCACGCTGAAGGGTGTCTTTCTCCATCCTCAAGGTGTTGATCAGCTTGAGATCTTGCTCCGCCCTTTCTGCATGAGCGAGCTTTACAGTCTCTAGCTCACGCTGAAGGGTGTCTTTCTCCATCCTCAAGGTGTTGATCAGCTTGAGATCTTGCTCCGCCCTTTCTGCATGAGCGAGCTTTACAGTCTCTAGCTCACGCTGAAGGGTGTCTTTCTCCATCCTCAAGGTGTTGATCAGCTTGAGATCTTGCTCCGCCCTTTCTGCATGAGCGAGCTTTACAGTCTCTAGCTCACGCTGAAGGGTGTCTTTCTCCATCCTCAAGGTGTTGATCAGCTTGAGATCTTGCTCCGCCCTTTCTGCATGAGCGAGCTTTACAGTCTCTAGCTCACGCTGAAGGGTGTCTTTCTCCATCCTCAAGGTGTTGATCAGCTTGAGATCTTGCTCCGCCCTTTCTGCATGAGCGAGCTTTACAGTCTCTAGCTCACGCTGAAGGGTGTCTTTCTCCATCCTCAAGGTGTTGATCAGCTTGAGATCTTGCTCCGCCCTTTCTGCATGAGCGAGCTTTACAGTCTCTAGCTCACGCTGAAGGGTGTCTTTCTCCATCCTCAAGGTGTTGATCAGCTTGAGATCTTGCTCCGCCCTTTCTGCATGAGCGAGCTTTACAGTCTCTAGCTCACGCTGAAGGGTGTCTTTCTCCATCCTCAAGGTGTTGATCAGCTTGAGATCTTGCTCCGCCCTTTCTGCATGAGCGAGCTTTACAGTCTCTAGCTCACGCTGAAGGGTGTCTTTCTCCATCCTCAAGGTGTTGATCAGCTTGAGATCTTGCTCCGCCCTTTCTGCATGAGCGAGCTTTACAGTCTCTAGCTCACGCTGAAGGGTGTCTTTCTCCATCCTCAAGGTGTTGATCAGCTTGAGATCTTGCTCCGCCCTTTCTGCATGAGCGAGCTTTACAGTCTCTAGCTCACGCTGAAGGGTGTCTTTCTCCATCCTCAAGGTGTTGATCAGCTTGAGATCTTGCTCCGCCCTTTCTGCATGAGCGAGCTTTACAGTCTCTAGCTCACGCTGAAGGGTGTCTTTCTCCATCCTCAAGGTGTTGATCAGCTTGAGATCTTGCTCCGCCCTTTCTGCATGAGCGAGCTTTACAGTCTCTAGCTCACGCTGAAGGGTGTCTTTCTCCATCCTCAAGGTGTTGATCAGCTTGAGATCTTGCTCCGCCCTTTCTGCATGAGCGAGCTTTACAGTCTCTAGCTCACGCTGAAGGGTGTCTTTCTCCATCCTCAAGGTGTTGATCAGCTTGAGATCTTGCTCCGCCCTTTCTGCATGAGCGAGCTTTACAGTCTCTAGCTCACGCTGAAGGGTGTCTTTCTCCATCCTCAAGGTGTTGATCAGCTTGAGATCTTGCTCCGCCCTTTCTGCATGAGCGAGCTTTACAGTCTCTAGCTCACGCTGAAGGGTGTCTTTCTCCATCCTCAAGGTGTTGATCAGCTTGAGATCTTGCTCCGCCCTTTCTGCATGAGCGAGCTTTACAGTCTCTAGCTCACGCTGAAGGGTGTCTTTCTCCATCCTCAAGGTGTTGATCAGCTTGAGATCTTGCTCCGCCCTTTCTGCATGAGCGAGCTTTACAGTCTCTAGCTCACGCTGAAGGGTGTCTTTCTCCATCCTCAAGGTGTTGATCAGCTTGAGATCTTGCTCCGCCCTTTCTGCATGAGCGAGCTTTACAGTCTCTAGCTCACGCTGAAGGGTGTCTTTCTCCATCCTCAAGGTGTTGATCAGCTTGAGATCTTGCTCCGCCCTTTCTGCATGAGCGAGCTTTACAGTCTCTAGCTCACGCTGAAGGGTGTCTTTCTCCATCCTCAAGGTGTTGATCAGCTTGAGATCTTGCTCCGCCCTTTCTGCATGAGCGAGCTTTACAGTCTCTAGCTCACGCTGAAGGGTGTCTTTCTCCATCCTCAAGGTGTTGATCAGCTTGAGATCTTGCTCCGCCCTTTCTGCATGAGCGAGCTTTACAGTCTCTAGCTCACGCTGAAGGGTGTCTTTCTCCATCCTCAAGGTGTTGATCAGCTTGAGATCTTGCTCCGCCCTTTCTGCATGAGCGAGCTTTGCAGTCTCTAGCTCACGCTGAAGGGTGTCTTTCTCCATCCTCAAGGTGTTGATCAGCTTGAGATCTTGCTCCGCCCTTTCTGTATGAGCAAGTTTTTCATTCTCTAGTTCAGCCTGTAGAGTGTTGATCCGCCATAGACCTTGCTCTTTGCTTGTTATATGAGCTTGCTTTTCGCACTGTACCTCACCCTGAAGGGCGTCTTTCTCCGCCTTCAGGGTGTCGATCAAGTTTCGACTTTGCTTTGTCCTTTCTACTTGAGCAAGCTGTTCGTACTGTAGCTCACGCTTAAGGGTGTTTTTCTCAGCCTTCATAGTGTCGAGCAGTTTTTGACTTTGCTCTTCCCTTTCTGCATGAGCAAGCTTTTCACTCTCTAGCTCATGATGAAGGGCGTCTTTCTCTGCCTTCAGGGTGTTAATCGTTTTCTCAGTCTCATGCTCACGCTGAAGGCTTTCGATCTGCTGCTTGAGTGTGAGGTTTTCAATTTTTAGGCTGAGCACATGGTGTGAAGCTCTGAGCTTCTCCATTTCTACTTGGAGAGCCTTGTTCTTGTCCTTCTCCACATTGAGCTCGCCCATAAGCCTCTCCTGGCTTATCACATGTGCCACTTTCAGCTCCTTGTAATTTCTCTGAAGATCTTTTTTCTTCTTCCTTTTGATATCATTGCCCACCTGAGTGGCGATGTTTGAAGCACTGAGAGCTTCTGCATTACTGTACTGCCTCAGCCTCTCAAGCTCCTTTCTAGTTTCTTTTTCCTTGTTGATAAAGGATTCAGTCTTGGCTTTCTGGTAAGCCAGCTGTTGCTTTGTCTCATTCAGCTCCTGGCTAAATTGGATCCTCCAGTATTGTTCATAATGAAAGTTAACTCTGCCTATCCTTAACATCCCATGAAGCCTCCTTATTTCTTCTTGAAGTGCTTTGCCGTTTTTAGGTCTGCCGGTAGAACATGCCATTTTTTTTAAGTGGTAGAATCAGTTTGTTCCCAAACACTGTAGTATTTCTCTGAACAGATGTCGTCTGTATTATTTGTCGTCTTTATTTGTTATCGTTGAAGTTCTTTCCTCACACTGGTGTGTCAGTTATAGAAGGTCTGAAGTTGTGTAGACTACCTGGTTAGATGTAGTTGCTGATAGAGACTTGATGACGTCACAGATCAGGCCATGCCTTTGTTGTCGTTCTATTTTCTGCATGTTTACATTCAAAATCACAATCTGTCAGTCAAATGTACTGTACGCTAGGCCACCTTAGTAACATTCAAAACAATTTTAAAACCTGCTATTAATCTATTCTATACAGCGTAATCCCGGATTTCATATCTAATTAATCAATTACAATGTACACAGATGTTCCATTACATTACCACCAAATGTAAGTACATTATACTCATTTGTGGTATAATATACTTGCATCTGATAGTAATACAATGTGTGAACTTTAAGTTAAATCGCTTAAAAATATATTTAGTCATGACCACACCTCTTTTTCCCCATAGAGACAGAAGGTGATGCTCGGTGTTTGGCTGTTTTTGAGGCAATGCATAATGGGAACTTGAACGTGGGATAATTGTTATTTCACTGGTTGGGTGCTGCGGAGTCCGACCAAACATACATTTTTCAACTGTTCATCATTTTGTTGTCTTCTCTCATTCGAGAGGCTGTTTGTGAGATGTGGAAACATCAGTTCGACGGGACGTTTTTCGCCTGATAGGTACCTTTAACTACTTTCTCACTCACGTGAACCAGGCCTGCTCAACGGGCGCTGTCTGCAGACACGATCCCGCATTGAGCCGCTTGCCAAGAAATGGACGAGGAGGAAATCTGGTGAGTGTTGTTGGTGAGAAATAGGAATCAGTTGCTTTTTTTATTGTTGTTTTTTTCCCCTGGATGGGGCTGTGTGTGAGCACTGTAAAATTTGTTTTAATGATGACCACTTTGATGGACATTTTTCACCTGTTAAGCTAGCTACATTAGCTATCTTATCACTTAGCTCTTAGCTAGCTAACTGTTAGCTAGCTTATCACTACGTGGGCAATTTTTGAATAGTAAAAAACGTTTTAACTAGTTTGACAATACGTTTTTCACCTTTTACTGTTAAAATGTTGGCGAAATGGCAAATTGTATGCATATTACAAAGCCATGACATTCTAATATTAAATGCCCAGGTGGCTTATTACATTACTTAGCTAATCAGAAAGGAACATTAGCTAAACCCTTCTACGGCCTTAACACCCAGTTTATGGTGGTATACATGGTTTATTTTGTTTTATTTCAGGTTTGTAACGAGTTCTACGGGGTGGTGGGAAAAATCTCAGGGAGGACTTCTATGGACTGTGGGTCAGTGGGTAGAGCAGTTGTCTCCCAACCAGATGGTTAGAGGTTCGAATCTCGGTGCCTGCAGTTCATGTGGCGAAGTGTCCTTGGGCAGGACACTGAATCCCCAAGTTCCCCCCGATGGTTAGAGCCATCGGTTGAGTTGGTGCCACAGATGGCTGCCTCGGTTCTGTACTGGAAACACAAATTTTATTTTATATAGCACTTTAAAAACACCTTATGTGTAATATACTTGGCCAAATAAAGGTGATTATTATTATTATTATTGATGCACTACACCATTTCTCTCCAAGCCTGATGTCTGTTTGGCAAAAAGAGAGTTCTCACCAGCCAGCTTTTGGCAGGGCCTCTGGGTCAGACAAAGGTGGGTTGACTTGTCTACATCAGTCTACTCCCTCTCTTTCCTCAATTTTTGTTCCTCTCCTTTCCCTGTGCATTTACTCGCTCTCCTTTCTTATCGCTTCTTTTCTCTCATTTGCTCTTTTCTATCCTCTCCCCTTGCCTCATTTCCTGTCTCCTTTTCTCCTCGTCCTATCTGCTTCGTGCTCTATTCTATCATCTCTCCTCTATTATACTTTACCCTTCTGTCCTCTCCCTTTCTTGTCATATCATTTCCTCTTGTCGTCTCCTGTGCTTTGCAATAAAGTCATAAAATATATGGGGAAATTCTGGAATGTATTCAATAATACATGTCAATATCCTTAGAATTATGCCCACTATCTTCCAGACAACTGAGCCAACAGACATCAGGTGCCTTTGTCTTCAGGGACTGCTAGTCATTTTGAGGGATGATCCTTCTGCCTTCTTAAGAAACTTCATTTGTTGTAAATGATGCATACGTAGTTATTAACCCTTTTTTCAAATTTAGGCCATTAATGAGGACTGCCTGCTGCTAATTTTCAGAATCATTTAAACAGTATCTGGTGTTTCCCAGACTTCTATTTTATGGCCTAACAAATTTTAACTAAAAATCATTTTGAATATCTGCATTATTGAATTATGATGGAACAGAAACTGAAAAGATTTGGCCACAAATGTATGAATGGCCTCAAATTAACATTAGAGATAACCTTGGAATCTCACTTATTCATTTTAATTTTGTTGAGGAGAGAAGAGAGTACAGCGTGGAAGAGAGGGGTTTTGCAAACAGTACATGTAATGTACAGATCTAATTATGGCAGTTGATGAAAAGTCAATTTAAGACCAGTATTATCTTTTTGTAATAATTACTGTCAGTGCAGTTTATACGATGCCTTTCATTCTAAATAGTCAGATACTTTTTGGTGGATAACAGCATTATCTAACAGGCATCATTATGTTCTCTCATTGCCAGTCAATTTTTTTTTTCCTTCTGATAGGATGTAAGTGAAAGACCAGTCGGAATTCTCTGTGTTGATCAAGAAAATCCTCAGCTCAACCCATCCAGGTTGGGCATCATCTTGGAAGGGAATGTGGTGATGGATGAACTGAACTCTAATAACTGGAATGAAGGCTAGTGTTGATTGACATGACATGAATGGAAAAGCAGTTAGAAGTGAGGGCTGTGCAGCAGTGACAGTGAACAGTGTAATGTAGTGGGGAAAATCCTACAAAAATCAGAGAAGCAATATTTAACTATGTTATATGAACACTCTTTGGTGAGCAGATTTGTGGTTTGTGGTAATAGCAGCCTGTGCAAACCGCTGGGCTCCGGTTTGTTCCACAAGCAGATTTGGTTAAACTTGGATAGTTATGAAAATGATATCCACGAGGCTCAGAGGCTGGCGTTTTTCAACAGAAAGAAAAGTGAAGAGAGTAGATTTGATTTAAAAGATACAATCCATGATTTATTATAGAAAAGATGTAACATAATAATTTATATATCAATGTTTTTACATGTAAACAGGAACAAAGTAAACAATGTTATTGATACACTTTATGTCACAGCTGATACCATCCTATTGTACAGTTGAATCTATGGTCTATTGTCACTTTGCTTCCATGTCAAGTACATCACTTGCTCGGGCATGATCCTATTAGGAGGCATGGCATTGAACAGAAAGCATAATCCCCCTCTAGACGGCTATGTTCTCAGAAGTGCAAGGTCATGCCATTATTACTTATTATACAATACCCATATTGTGATATTGCCAACAGAAGAAGGTGTGAGAAACACAGATGTGCAGCATTTGCATTAGTGAAGAGAACTAATGCTCTCAGAGGAAAAAGATCCATAAGAAAATGATCAGTAGCTGGGCAAGTCAAACTTCACTGGTCATCTACTTATTCATTCATAAAGTTGCCCCTGGCCCATTAGATTAAATACCTCAGCTATTTAGGAGTTAAATATAATTCTAACTGCCAGTTGAGTTTTGGTACAAAGTAAGTCAGAGTTTTGATTTTATCAGACTCTCCTTAAGCTCACTCCAAGACAGACCATTTTAATCAGTCTGGACTCCAATCTATTATTTAGAAAATACTCTTCCAGTATAAAATTCTGCCTCATCAGGAAACGTATATCTTGTCTGGACCTCTGAAAACAATCGACACTGAAAAAGGGAGGCGATATGTTTAAGATGCTAACAACTTTACCGAGGTTAGCTCTGCTCAAAGCAGGTGTTGTGTCATGCAAACTCTACCAGCACATTTACATCTGCATCTGTTCAAAACAAATATAGCACTCACAGATAGCGACATGCATAGATTTCAATGTTCACTAAGCAGAGAAGATATTCTGAAAACCTGGACTGGTTTCATAAATACTGAAATACTATTAAACTTGTATCTCTCTCTTGTGAATGACATAATTGTGAATCACTAATCATGGGACTGAGAAGATTCGACTTAGGGTTTATAACCAAAGGAATAACTGCATTGTCTGTATATGCTGTATTTGGTATAAGAGGAGGTTTTGGCAGATGATTTTCAAGCCAGCTCTGTATGTAAAAATCATACTAGTCTTTTTCATCCATTTCAGCTAGTGTGGTTTCAAATCAGCTTCCTCAAAACAATGTTGACAAAGCTATGAACTACTTTTGCTGTTGTGAGCTTTTAGAAAGGAACTGTTTAGTGTGGTGCAGACAGCTTTTATAAATAAAACAATTCTACTGAACCACAGTCCTGTGATTGCCATAATGGCATGGTCCTTAGCAAATTACAGTGAGAAAATAACTTACCTTATATAATAACAAAAGGTAACTGATGTTATTGCCAATAAAGTTCTGTGGTCCTTACTCTTGGATATCCCAATCATGCCATGTCTATTCATCTGAACCGATGGCTGCGTCTTCATGCATAATGGACTTACAGCATGTTGGCATTTCTCTAGTATTATACTCAGCAAAAAAGTCATAAGATCATATAGTCCACTGTTCTTTATAGCAACCTGATGGGTAACATAACCCAACTGATTGATACTTTTATGTCTTAAAAATGACAAATTATTCCGTGTATAGTTTTGCTGTTTGCACTATTTTACTGTTAAAACAAGCCAATATCTATTCCATCTTTGGTAATCTTTTTTGTGGTTAAACATTAATCAAACCAATCTGAAAATGTGATTAATGTAAACTTAATGTGCAGCATTGATTTGGTTTTATCAAGGAGTTTGTATTTTAACAACAATTACTGTACTATGTTTTCTCTTTGTAATAAACAGACATAATTTTCTTGCAAGGTACTTTGTCTGTTTCTGTGTACTGACAAATGCAACTTCATGCACATGCATGAAGACACTGTGTACTATTGGCTAAAAGCAGAGAAAACACACCACAATAATGCTGCAGGAGCTGATAGTTGCCATGGTGTATAAGACTGACAGTGATTTAAGATTTTAAAGAAAAAGTACTTGCCAG